AGAGAGAGAGAGAGAGAGAGAGAGAGAGAGAGAGAGAGAGAGAGAGAGCGCCAATGTGAGAAAGAAACATCAATCAGTTGGCTTCCTGTAGGTGCCCTGACTAGGTATCAAACCCAAAACTTAGATATGTGCCTGACTGGGAATCGAACCCACAGCCTTTCAGTGTACAGGACGATGTTCCAACCAAATGAGCAACACCGGCCAGGACTGGGCCTTGCATTTTTATCTATTCTGTCAATCTCTGCCTTCAATTAGAATTCAAGTCCTTTTCATTTTATATTGTTATTTATATAGTTAGATTGAAGCCTATAATATTACTACTTGTTTTTCCCTTCTGTTAATTTTTCTGTCTCTTTTCCTTCCTTTTAATTAACTGAATGTTTTATGATTCAGTTTAGTTTTTCTATTGGCTTTGTAGCTATATATCTTTGCCTTATATCTTATTGACCCAGGATTACAATATACATCCATAACTTCTCACCCTGCTAAGAGTTTGTAATGCACCACCTCACACAAAGTGTAGAATGCTTGCAACCACATAGGTTCGCTTATATTGCTTGGGCTCCTGTCTCCTTTCTTGGATTCCCCTCCTTACTTTCCAGTGACTGTGGTTGCCCTGAGCTGTGTCCTCTGATTCATCAGGCCAATAATATTGCGAATTTTTCTGCCAGAATTTTAGCTGCCCTGCATGCACAGACTGGGGCCTGCCCCCAGGCTAAATACTACTTAAGAAGAAAGAAATTCGCTCTGTGATGTTCTTTTCTTCCAAATGTCAACTCCCCTCCAGCATCTGCCTGCTTGTTTTTCATTCTACAGTATCTCCAGGTAGCTGGTTTGAAGATTTTTGTCTAGAGTTTACAGTTGGATTTTTTATTAGATATTTGTGAGTTTATTCTAAAGAAGTCTATGGCCAGAAAGAAAATGGCTAGGATTCCGTGGTCCTGTTGTTCACGGGGCTTTATTTTTATTCCATACAATAAGGAATTTTCTAACTCCCCACATTAGTCTTTGTTTCCTCACTGGGAGAACCAATCCTCCACATTTATCCAAGTGCTATTAATGGGTTATTTTATTTAATCCTCACAACTCCTCTCTGGGGAAGATGGCCTTATGATCCCCATTTTATAGATGAGAAAACTGAGCACGAGAGGTTAAGCTACATATCAAAGTCACTGTGCATGAATGGTATCAAATGGGCAGCTCACTCCACAGCCTGTTTTCTTTCTTGATCTGGCCGTGAGACCTGGCTTGCAAAGAGGGCAAGGAACCAGGACCAAGGCCCTAGCCGCGGAGAGAAGATGGAAGGAGTCACCTGTGACTTTTATCTTGGCCTAATTCTCATCAGTGATCCAAGTCCAAGGCCTCTCCCAGCGAGGCATAATCAACAAAACCCACGCTAACCACAGAGAACTAAAGCTGAAGAAGCGTTCAAGAGGATGTTAGGAAGTTGGCAACATTCCCAGGAGGGCCAAAGGATCCACACGGAGACTATGTGGCCACTGACAATGCCCCCGGCACCCCAGACACCGACCACACTCCACCTCTCTCGCTCGTGCCCTGATGGCTCTCACCAGTGTGTGTGTCAGATCCTCAAGCCTCTCACCCAGGCTCATCCCAGCTGTGAGGGCGGCTGTGAGAGCGTTCCTGGTGGGACATCCCTGGGCGTTAGAAGGGTGTTCAGACGGTGCCGGGCCCTCAAAGACTTCCATCGATGTGCACATTCCATGTCAGTGAGCCGCCGGGCAGCTTCCGTGTGACCTGCTTTTCTCCCAATAATCTCCCAGCAAGAGGCCAGAACAACCCCTTCCCGTGCTGCCCGACTGCAAGTTTCCCCCGTCCGGAGAAAAGCCGAGCTCCGTAAGCAGACAGTTTTATAGGAGCATGACTCATGCTGGTTTTCGTTTAACTGTTATGGCACCTTGGCGATGATTAAGTGACCGCGTGTGGAATGTAAGATGGATTTTCTAATCAATTATAATAAAAATTGGATTCTGAAGATATGCTTGTTGAAACTCTCCGTTTGTTCAGCATCACCTCCGATGGCTGGCCCAGCAGACAAGGGTTTTATAACAGCACTTCCCTGGTTCCCAGGCTCTGCACTGGGATCCGGGCCGCGGGGGGGTTATCTCGTCAGTAGGGAGTGTCTGGCAGCTCAGTGGGTTATGTGCTTTCCAAGTGACCTTTGGAATTTTGACTGAAAATGGCAGAGACGTAACCAATTGGAGGGATGTGAAAGGGGATAACCCTGCCCTGCCCGAAGTCCCTGAACTGCTAAATCAATATGGACAGGAAACGCAATTCCGTATTTGAGGGACATGGGCTCATGTTGTATAAGAGTACTAACTGGCTTATAAATTTTATTGGAGACGACAATGGAAAAAAAAAAGTGTTGTTTGGGTTTTTATGATTTTTTTTTTAAATTCTGTTCAATTATATAAAAACTAAACTCCCTTTTCATTATCCTAAGGCTAGTGTTTTCAGGGTATATTTAGCAATCATATGTTTCAGAATTTTTGGAGCAATCCCCAATTCCTTATCTAATTATTGTTTAATTCTTTAAATTTATCATAATGTATAATTTAAAATTTTTAAATAGTACTTATTGACTGGTTTTAGAGAGAGAGGAAGGGAGTGAGAGAAAGAAACATGTTTGTTGTTCCACTCATGCACAGAGCCATTGGCTGATCCCTGTGTGTGCCCTGACTGGGGATCAAACCTGCGTATCAGGGTGACCCTCCAACCAACCCAGCCAGGGCTATCAGAAAGCTTTCTGACGCACTGGCAAGTCCCCCAGGTCCCCTGTTTATGTGTCCCTCAGAGATGTTCCAGTCAGAGATAAGCATGTAGGTAGAGCCTCCCCCTTGTTACAAAAATGGAAAAGTGCTCTGTACTGTATGTGTGTGTGTGTGTGTGTGTGTGTGTGTGTGTATGTGTACATGTATATCAGGGCTCTTTTCATATATGTTCACACAGATTTTCCTCCTCCTGTTTAACAGAAACACAAAGGATTATTAACCAGCTATCTCATGGTTATTTAGCCAGTCTTCTATAGAATATTTATAGACAGACATTCCATTTTTTCCAGTCTTGCAATTATAAGTAATGTTTTGGTCAATATCCTTGTATGGACCCCTTCATGTACATATGAGAGCTTCTGGGATTAAATTTTTATAAATAAAATTTCTGGTGAAAGGCAAATCTACTTTTAAGTTAGACAGGTATTGCTAAATTGCTCTCCAAAGAGGATGCTTCAGTATACACTGAGTGGTCAAATTATTATGATCTCTGGCATAATAATCTGGCCATTCAGTGTGTGTGTGTGTGTGTGTGTGTGTGTGTGTGTTTAGAGGCCCTGTGCATGGATGCGATCCAGCCAGCCTGGCCAAGGGGAGGGTACATGGACGGTTTGCCAGCCTGCCTGCTGGTCAAACTCCTGGTTGAGGGGACAATTTACATATTAGCCTTTTATTATGTAGGATATACACTGAGTGGCCAGATTATTATGCATCCAGAGGTCAAAATAATATAGCCACTCAGTGTATATCCCTACCTGTTTGCTGTACCTATTTATCAGGACAGCACATTATCAATGGTTTTTATCTTGACCTGTCAGTTTAGTTAATCTGTATATCTTTTATTCAGAGTCTTAGCACTTTTAAACATGTTTAAAATCATTTGCATTTACTATTTTTTTTTTTTTAAATAAACTGTGTAGCTGAAGCCTGTTTGGCTCAGTGGTAGAGCGTCGATCTGGGGACTGAAAGGTCCCAGGTTCGGTTCCGGTCAAGGGCATGTACATTGGCTGCGGGCACATCCCCGGTAGGGGGTGTGCAAGAGGCAGCTGGTTGATGTTATTCTCTCATCAACCTTTCGAGCTTTCTATCTCTCTCCCTTCCTCTCTGTAAAAAAAAAATCAATAAAATATATTTAATAAATAAATAAATAAAATAAACTGTGTACACCCACTTTCTGTTGGATTACGATTTATTTTCACATTGATTTGTAGTTCTTTATATATAAGTAAGTGAACTTTTCTCATATAAAATAAAGATGACTTGTTATCTGTAGAACAGAATGTGATTTAGTGTCTATAACTAGGTATGGTTCCCATATGAGCAAATTCAAACCCACAAATCAGAAAACAATTCATTCTTAGCCATGTTTCCAGATTTTTTAATTTAAAAAATATGGTCACTAAAAAGTATTTTGAGCCGAAATCGATTTGGCTCAGTGGATGGAGCATCGGCCTGAGGACTGAAAGGTCCCAAGTTCAATTCCGGTTAAGGGCATGTACTTTGGTTGTGGGCACATCCCCTGTAGGGGGTGTGAAGGAGGCAACTGGTTGATGTTTCTCTCTCATCAATTTTCTAGCTCTCTGTCCCTCTCTCTTCCTCTCTGTAAAAAATTAATAAAATATATATATTTTTAAAGTATTTTGAAATTATTTCCAAATCTGTGGAATCCATTGTAACATTATGTATTTGTAGAGTACATTAAGGTGACTTTAAAGCATTTTATAGTTTATAAAATTATAAAACTATAAATCTAATGTGATTTAAAATATTTTTTATAGTTTATAAAGCTATAAAAGTAATAAACACATACTTGTCTGTTTAAAAAGTCCAATATATGCCCTAGCCAGGTGCTCAACTGGTTGGAGCCTTGTCCCGTATACCAAAAGGTTATGGGTTCCATTCCCTGTCGGGGCACATGCAGGAGGCAGCTGTTAGCTGTTTCTCTCTCCCTTCCTCTCTCTCTCTTAAAATCAATAAAAACATATCCTCGGGTGAGGATTAAAAAGAAAATTGCAATATACATAAGTGTATACATTTAAAGTGCAAATTTTCTCCCTCCCTTCCAGGACAGCACCATTATTCATAGTTCGGTGTGTATTCCTCCTGACTTTTTTCTATACACCCATAACAATACATATAAAAAAAAAAAAAACTGGTTCTTCAAAAAGTGGGAGCTACATGTTGTTCTGCAAGTTGCTTTTGCCCCCCTTAAGGCTTTATCTTGGAAGTCAAGAATGGTGCATTAACCATTCTGTTTGTTAACGCCGTAAGCTGACAGCCGGTTAGCACAGACCAGCGCAGGCGCTGATACTGGCTGCCTTTGGGGGGAACCCAGCAGGCCGGAATGGAGAGGGAGTCTGGAAACAGGCAGCCGGCCGTGGACAGCTTGTTTCTCCTGCAGCTTCAGTGTCTGCACGCAGGGCTGTTTCACACACCGTGTGTGGCCATGAGGAACAGCACAATCACTAGGACAGAGGGCTGGCACTGAGCCCTCTATGAGCCAGCACCCAGAGATGCTTGCTTTGCTTTTCAATTTGGTTTCTTGCCTTCAGCAAAGAGAAGGAATGGGATCAAAATGGTTGGTGCACAAAGTGGGCTCCAGGAGCCTGGCCCCACCCCTTGAGCAGTAGGGCTGTGAGGTCTACATGCTGGGGCGGCCACCAGCCCACAGGAGGCAGGCCTGTTCTCCCAGGTGGACCTGATATCTCACATCCAAGGACTAAGTCTTGCTCTCCTGGCACCCTCCCAGCAGTGCCCTATAGATATGGATGCTCTGGAGCGAAGGTGGGGGTGGGGGGAGAGGGTTCAGGGCTGTCTTGTCTGGCTGAGAATTTGTCGCTACACAGACGAGCCCCATTCAGGAGGCTCCAGCTCTCCTCACCTGTGTCCTGGCTGAGAGAGAGAGGCCGTTTCCTCCTGAGAAAGGCATTTTCTGCTCAGCCGAACCCCAGGGTCTGCATCTGCCTTCGGGGCTTCTTTCTGGTTAGCCGGGGGGGTTGGGAGGTGCTGTGTGGACTGTGCAGACCCTCCAGGCCCGGCTTCAGGAGGCTCCCGGCGCCCAGGGGGTGGGTCTTCCCAGCATCCTTTGGGGCCACCCTTGAGCAGCCCTCCTAGGCTTGGGAAGAAGCTGAGTTCTGGGAAGATGGCCGGGTAAGGGTTTTCTTGAATAGAATCCATTCCTGTCCAGTCAACAAATACTTGAGGCTCTCCCATATGCCAAGGCCTGTTCTAGCTCTGGAAATAGGCGGAACAGGACAGACAAGGTCCTGTCTGCGGAGCTGGCATTCTGGTGTGGGAAACATCAGGGAACAAGTTAAATAAGTAAACAAGACCATTTTCCAGAAAGCACTACGCGGAAAATAAAACACACAATGGCCTAGGGAGCGGGGGAGGGGTGGCTAGTGTGCAATTCGTACCTGCGGGGAACCTCCTCCAGAAGGGGAGACTCAAGTGACAGGAAGCAGGCATCGCGCCAACATTTCGGAAGAAGGTTCCGGGGAGCCAGCACAGCAAAGGGAAGCACCCGGAGGCTGGGAGACACCAGGCTCTGAAGAGAGCGTAGTTGGGAGCTAAGAAGAGTCTGAGGAGTTCGAAGAGGTGAGGGCCAAATTATGCAGGCCTTGTGGCCTGGCTGAGACATCACCCGTCTTCCTCCACATGCAGTGGGCGGTACCAGGAAGTTGAAGTAGGTGAGTGACATGATCCCAGCACATGTTTAACGGGTAACTCGGGCTGCTTTGTGGAGAATGCTTGGGGGAGGGGGAAGGCAAGGAGGACAGCAGGGACACCAGTTAGAGGCTGCTCCAATGGTCCAGGTGAGAGAGCATGGTGGCTGGAACCGGGATATCTGTGGAGAGATGGAGAGAAGGGATGAATTGGGGATATATGTTTGGAATTATTGCCAGCACTTCGTCCAAAAAGAAGCAGGGCCTTGGGTCCCCAGACAAGGCTGGAAGCAATGGTGTCACTGTTCTCCTGCTTGCACTGAATGAGAGCTGGCCCTGCCGGGCCACTGAGACCTTGCCCGGCAGACCCCCATACCATCCTTAGACTCAGGGACCCCCGCATTAGACGACCCCCTTCATGTTTTCCTCTGGATCCTCCCTTCCCTTGGAGTGAGGAGCTTATAAGGACAAGGAATTTCCTGCTCAAACAACCCTGAGGCTGCTGCCTGGGCCCACAGGGGTCATGTTACCAGGCACTTGGCTGTGTGCACACCCTGGTCCAAAGGAGATGGGAGGAGACCATTTTCGGTCTGGGCAGTCTCAGAGCCTGTGCTGGGAGCCCACACCCACGTGACTAAGGAACCTTCTGGTGGGGGATGGCCCAAGGGTGGACCACAGTGCTCCCTGCCTAAAGCTGGTTGGCAAAAGCCTGTGAGGTAGGTTCTCCCCGTCACGTGGAGTGGCCTTGGCCGTAGATCCCGCTTCGTCTTTGGATACAGCCTTATCTAGGCCCCTCCCTGGTGATCCCTGCACTCCAGCCGGGCAAACATCTTGTCCTTTGTTACCAGAACATGCCATGCACTCACAGCCTCTCCACCTTTGCACCTGCCGTTCTGTCCACCTATCCTTCCAGCTAATTCCTGTCTGTCCTTCTAAGTGCAGCTCAAGGTCCGCTGTGACAGGAAGCCCTCTCCGGCCTCCTTAGTCAGCCTGGGCTGCCATACAGGGGTCCTCAAACTTTTTAAAGTGGGGGCCAGATCACGGTCCCTCAGAGAGCTGGAGGGCCGGACTATATGAACTACTAATTCCTACTGTAACACCTCGGCTGCGCTCACTGCCCAAAAAACCTGGTGGGCCGGATCAGACTCCTCTGCGGGCCGCATGTGGCCCGCGGGCCGTAGTTTGAAGACGCCTGCTAGAACATACCACAAACGGGGTGGCTTAAATAACAGCAATCCATGTTCTCACCGCTCTGCAGGCTGGGAGTGTGCGGTCCATGTGCCAGGAGGGCGAGGGCTCTGCTCTCGGAGCTGCAGACACCGCCTTCCCCGTGTCCTCCCGCGGTGCCAGTGCGTGTGCCCGCAGGGCGGGCAGGCAGGGGGAGGGGGAGTGCTCTCCCTCTCTTCTACCCGGAAGGCTACCAATCCTATCAGAATAGGACACCACCCTCATGACCTCATTTAACATTAATTACCTCGTTAACAAAAAACTGTCTCTGGATACAATCGCATTTGGGGTTAGGGCTTCCACATATGAATGTGGAGGCACACCGTTCAGCCCACAGCACCTCCCCAGAGCCTCACATTCGCCAGGCAGGGTGGCCCATTGTCAGTCACACAGCGCACCAGTCCTCCAGGCCACGGGAGTCTCCGAACAGACCGTGGGTGAGTTAATGGATGGCCTCCCTCTGCCAGGCCCACTCCTGCTCTTTCGGTGACACCTCTCTCCCGGCAGCCTGTGATGGCCTGTCTGTGTCCAACCCCAAGAGGGCAGAGGCCGCTTCTCACTCATCTCTGGGCACGAAGCACCTTGCTCAGAGCTGGCCTTGTGGGAGAATTCTGGTTCTGCTGTGGAGGGACCTGCGCCCATGGGTGTGGGCCCCCTTGGGTGCCTCTTCCATCCACACACACCCTATCCGCAAGGCCTGGGAGCCTCTGAGGTTTCCTCCCATCCTGAGAGGAGACGTGCCTGCTGTAACCCTGACAGGAAACCAGGTGTGGACACTGTAAAGAGGACACTTCCAGGAGCCTTTTTCGTGCTTCTCCCCGGGGACTGCCGTTACTCCTGGCAATGCGGAAAGACCGGGACTCCCCCTCCGGGTCTCCCTGCGCTCCACAGGTGCTGCTGGATAAATGGGCCCCCATCTGGCCAAGAGAGCCGCTCCGCGGCGGCTCCCATAGGTTATGTACTTAATGTATCTATTGTAGTTTTACTCCCTGTCCAACACTATCAAGCTAAAAATATTTTGTGTCTGGGGTCTGGACTGAAAAACGAAGCCGTTGGGTCATTAATCACTGAAAATATGTTGAATAGGAACTTGATTAAAGCACAAATTGCTTCTTTACTGTGGCCACAGTGGAAACAGGCGGTGTGTTTGGAGCTGGCCTTGAGGGCTCCTGGGAGGGCGGTGGCGCCTGGCCAAGCCCAGTAGGCCGCTGCCAGGGAGAGGGTCTGGAAAGCCCAGTGGACACTGCTCAGGCAGGCCCACCTCCAGTGGACACCCAGGCAGCACCAGACTTGAGAGCGAAGTCGAAAGGGCGCAGGAAAGGGGGCGGTAGCGGCAAGAGCGACTTTCGGCCCCAGGAGGCCCCCTGCGAGCCTGAAGGCCCCCAGAATCCCCACACAGAACTCGCCAGGCTCCACGTGGCTGGGGGGCAGCAACCCTGAACCCCCTCAGCGGGCAGCAGCGGGCGCGGAGGGGGCACCGCGCCAGAGGGCAGCTGCCCAGGCCGCCTCGCTTCCCCAGGATTTCGGGGAACGCAGCGCCCTGCAAATCACGCAGCAAGATGCTCCCCGTAGGTGCTCCCTGGACATCTCTGCTCCCGCCTCAGGGCCCACCTGAGCAGGGATTAGGGGAGAAGTCGACGGATTCCAACCCGCCTCGGGAACCCCGTTCGGGAGGCAAGTTCGCCTCCAGCTGCAGAGCGCTCCCCCGCGTCCCGGCACCTCAGCCCCGGGATCCAGCTCCGCCCGACGTGCAGGACACAACTGGCGGCCCCGCACGGCGTAGCCGAGCCGGCCCGCGCGCTTAGCAAGCCCAGAACTCCGGCCGGGAGAAATGATTAAAAAGAAAAAGTTTTCCAGCCCAGGCGGTCAGACCGGACAAGTCCACCAGGCTCCCCGGCCGCGGCCGCCTCCCCTGCCCTCCGCTCCCCGCGGGGTCCTAGTGCCCGGCCCTGCGGAGCCCGTGACACCCCGAGTCCTGCCAGTGGCTGCAGCGCGGGGGCGAATCCTCTGCACGGATCCGAGTTAAAGGAGCGAAATCTCCGCGCTCCGGGCCTCCCCAGGCGGCGGGGTGCGCTGGGCCTCTTACTCCCACCCCGGCTCCTTCCCCACGTCGCCACCTTCCAGAAACCCGGACCCCGGACAAGCCTGGTTCTGGCGTTTAAAGCCAGCCGGCGCCTCAGCAACTCGGAGACCGAGACTTGCACTCCACCAACCCGCTGCGCGGCGGCTGGGTGCCGCTGGGATCCCGGCCTTCAGCTGGAAGTGGGTGTCTGGGGGAGGCCAGAGAAGAGGGGCCCGCCACCGAACACGTGTGCGTGAGGGCGACAACTCGGCTGAGGGTGGGAGGGAGCCCCGCGTGCGGGTCACGGTTCTGCCCGCGGCTCCGGGGCCAGCGGGCGCCGCGCTCCAGCCCCGCTCCCGTCCGCGCGGCGGGCAGGCCCTAAGACCCAGGAGGCGCCGCGCGGCGCCGCCGATAGCCGGGCGCTAGAGGGCGACAGCTGCCCCATATAAAGGCGGGAGCCGCGCGGGCCTGGCCATTCGTGACCCGGAGCTGCGCGGGCGCCGGCGAGAGGGGCTCCGGTGGGCTGGGCTGCGGCAGCAGTGGTGCCCGCGCCGCCCGCCCGGAGGCCGCCGAGGCTCGCCATGCCGGGAGGACTCTAGCTGCCCCATGGAGTCGGCCGACTTCTACGAGGCGGAGCCGCGGACCCCGATGAGCAGCCACCTCCAGAGCCCCCAGCACGCGCCCGGCAGCGCCGCCTTCGGCTTCCTCCGGGGCGCGGGCCCCGCGCAGCCCCCCGCCCCACCGGCCGCCCCGGAGCCGCTGGGCGGCATCTGCGAGCACGAGACGTCCATCGACATCAGCGCCTACATCGACCCGGCCGCCTTCAACGACGAGTTCCTGGCCGACCTGTTCCAGCACAGCCGGCAGCAGGAGAAGGCCAAGGCGGCCGCGGCGCCGGGGGCAGGCGGCGGCGGCGGCGGCGACTTTGACTACCCGGGCGCCCTGGTGGGCCCCGGCGGCGCGGTGATGCCCGGCGGGGCGCACGGCCCCCCGCCCAGCTACGGCTGCTCGGCCGCCAGCTACCTGGACGGCCGGCTGGAGCCCCTGTACGAGCGCGTCGGGGCGCCGGCGCTGCGGCCGCTGGTGATCAAGCAGGAGCCGCGCGAGGAGGACGAGGCGAAGCAGCTGGCGCTGGCCGGCCTCTTCCCCTACCAGCCGCCGCCGCCGCCGCCGCCGCACCCGCACCCGCCCCCCGCGCCCCTGGCCGCCCCGCACCTGCAGTTCCAGATCGCGCATTGCGGCCAGACCACCATGCACCTGCAGCCCGGCCACCCCACGCCGCCGCCCACGCCCGTGCCCAGCCCGCACCCCGCGCCCGCGCTCGCCGCCGGCCTGCCGGGCCCCGGGGGCGCGCTCAAAGGGCTGGGCGCCGCGCACCCCGAGATCCGCGCGGGCGGCGGCGGCGGCGGCGGCGGCGGTGCGGGCAAAGCCAAGAAGTCGGTGGACAAGAACAGCAACGAGTACCGGGTGCGGCGGGAGCGCAACAACATCGCGGTGCGCAAGAGCCGGGACAAGGCCAAGCAGCGCAACGTGGAGACGCAGCAGAAGGTGCTGGAGCTGACCAGTGACAATGACCGCCTGCGCAAGCGGGTGGAACAGCTGAGCCGCGAGCTCGACACGCTGCGGGGCATCATCCGCCAGCTGCCCGAGAGCTCCCTGGTCAAGGCCATGGGCAACTGCGCGTGAGGCGGCCGCGCCGGCCGGGACCGCCCTGGGCCGACCCCCGGCTGGGACCCAGGGAGTCTTTTCGGGTCTCCGGATGGCAGGACTGCCGGAGCCACGCGTGCCAGGACTAGGAGATCCCGATGTCGCCTGAGAGCCCGGACTGTCTGTCGCGCGTGCCCCTTGCCTCCTTCTGCGCGGGACACGGTGCGTCTGAGATAAAGGGTCAGGCGGTAGTTTCTCCCTGTAAGAGAAGGGCCCGGGGCCAAGCCGGGAGCCTGCCAACTCTAGTATTAAGGAATAACCTTGTGCCTTGGAAATGCAAACTTGCTGCTCTGATTCCTACCAAGTAGGGGGAGCGAATATGTGCCTTGCCATTTTATGTTGAGGGTTCCTGCCTTGGCCCCAGGGCTGCAAGGCTGCGGCAGGCCCCCACGAGAGAGGAGGGGTGCAGGCTTCCGGCTGGAGGAAGGGTCGGGGAGCAGAGATCCCATAAGCCAGTCCCAGCTGCTCCTCAGCTCCTTGTCCTTGGAGGGGAGGAAACGGGGATCTGGGCTTTGTGAACCTAAGGCTGTTCCCCTGGTTCTACATGAAGGTGGAGGGTCCCCAGTTCCTCGTCTCTGACCTCCCAGCCTACAGCAGACTGGGCTTCCAGGGCAGAGCTCCCTGGATGGGAGTCACCATGTGACCAGTGGGAGACCTCACCCCCAGTCAGACCAGAAGGTTAGGTGTGGATTGGCTATAAGGACATATGTACAGTGGTGGCTGCTGGAAGAAGGGCCCTACGGTCTGGTCTGGGGCTTGGGAGAGGGGTGAAGGGACTCTGGGGCCATCAACCATGTCTGTACTGTATGTTGCCAGCATTGCCATACAAACATGAAGCACAGTCAGCCCATCCCAGAGGGACCCAAGTTATGAGAAGCTTTCCAAATATTTTGCTTTATCAGCCGATATCAACATTTGTATCTGGCCTCTCTGTGTCCCAGTGGTGCCTTGTGCAATGTGAATGTGCATGTCTATGCTAAACCACCATTTTCTTTGGTTTT